ACCACATCCTCATATCCTATTTTTCTAGCATCCATTTTAATATTATCCCTCAAATAATTGAGATACTGATTTATAATTATGTAAACGTACAGCCGTATAATCAAAGAAGGACAAAGAAACAAATGATAACTCTCAAAGGATATTACATGGCCTATATTTTGCCAGGAAAATACTTTATGACATCTGGTTGATAATGGCAATAAAGATTAATATGAAGAAAAATACTATATGTTAAGAAGTCATATAAAATGTTATTAACCAACTATACGATTCAGAGTCCTTGAGAAACTTACAGTCGTTTAATTAATCAGTAAGTACTCTGCCTTTTAAGAAACTCGAAAATTCATACCGTGCTCACAGAAGCTTACATTTTCAAAGCAAAATTCAACAATTTAATAACATAAGTCTTATCTCTGACATCTGAGGCCAACAGAATGATACGACTAAGGTAAAACTACCTGAAAATGTTGACAGCATATTTGAGATACGTTTAATTTACTGAACGTGATACGATGTGTTAAAATATTTAATAGAAGTACACGTTTCCCTACTTACTTTATCCTCGTCATAAGAATAATATTAAAAGCAAATGGGGAGAAATAGAGAGAGACAGAAACAGAGAGAATGGACAGAAATCACTGCGCCATCTCAGGCTGAATTATTCGCGCAGTTATTTACAAGTCTTTGTTGTAGCACACTCATCGAAATATACGTGTTGGAATCAGGAACTTTCAACAACACGCAGTCACGATGGAACTTCAATTTCCTCTAAAGCTTCGAGCACATCAAAGAGTTTTCGTTGATCGAGCAATTTTCCTTTCAGTTAATGAAATCGACTGAACCTGAAGCTAGCTGCAAGCCAACATAAAAACGACATCCCGAACCAACAAAGAAGAAACAAAAATTAAATGTATCATATATAACAACTGGAAGGGGGGATGATCAATTTTATATCAACATTTACTTTAATTCTTTAAAATAAAATGTACCAAATGAAGATCAGCTATCCTGAGTGAGAGTGTTCGTGCCCCCCCCCCCCCCGGGCCCTCAACTAAATTCCAGAATACCATAAATTAGGCTGCAATCGCTTCCTTCCTCAATCCTTTCAATTCACTAATCATCCTATCATTCGATGTCATGTTATCTAAGCAACTGAAACTGTAATTAAATAAACTGAGCATAAATAAAAATAAACTAGACCAAGTAATAGTTAAGATTCTCACGGCAACGAGTAAAAGGATGACTGTATTCTGAGATGTTGAGCCGTGTAGTCTTGCAGAAATTTACCTACGTTCCAGAGGTGCGTACTGCCTCCATTATCAAGGTGATTACATAACTACTCGTAACGTAAAAATAACTCAAGAGTAACTTCGAGAACAAATTAAAATTTCGGCTGACGTAAAAATGGTACGAAGATGCTTTGACACTATGACGTAAATTTTAGATTTTGAGCGGAGCGTAAATGTCCATAGCAATATGTAGAAGGCAGAAAATGTTGGCAGACATTTGAAGTCTCACTCACACACTCATGAACAAAAGATACGGCAAGATCAGATATAGTGAAAGCCTGTCTCTGTTCAAATGTTGCCGCTAAAAACGTTGTTATCTGCTTGAAAGATATAAGGACAGCATGGCTGAAAGAACTAACATGAAATGTTAGTGAAAAATGCGACGTGTGTGAGCTACACCCATGTCACGACCATTAATATGTACGTGATGGTTTCTGTATCTCCCTCAGTAGCAGTTAAATACACGCAATGTGTCATTGTAGTGGTACAGCTACGCTCATAAAAGTGACTGTGATGCTGTCCATGTCATTTATTGTGGAATCTTAATAAAGTAGAGGTCTAAAAGAACGGAGGTTATTATGACACGATCTGAGCTTGTTCTATTCAGTACTACCGTCCATGAAAACATTTCCCGTTCTACGCACAGCATGAGCAGTATGCACATGCAATAATGGAGTGAACACAGCCGGGCAGAATGCTTCTTAACTGGTGAATATCTGCTTTGATATACATTTTCATAAACCAAGGAGCCTAACCAAAATTACTTCTACGGACCGCAGATGTCAAGTAAACTTAACGCGGAAAAGAAATTCCTAGTATTTCGCTTCAAACGGTGCTCAGATTATAAACAAGGGTTAAACAAAGTGATTTGGTGCATATATTTAATTTGTTCTCTGTAGTAAACCTTGCTCCTTTACAAATGCCATGTTTAAGTCTATGGTATTCGTGTGTCTGAGTTGTACCCTCTAATAAGTTGCAAACAAATCTGCTAAATTTCTTTAAACCTGGCACACACATCATGCCATAGAAGCAACCCCATTTATAAACTGTTTAATCGCCTGAGAATATATTATTACGTCGACTGGTGAGTGAGTAATCTATTAGCAACTTTTTAAACAAGTATTTTTGTCCCGTATATTTATAATCCCACAAGACTCTCCATTTTGCAATCTCCCTACGTCACATCATTCAGCAGTTTACATATTGATTTTACGTTATGACAAAAAACGTGAGAACGTTGCTCATGTAAGCAGTACGCCTAATCCTGACAGTAACGTGTAAAGTTGTCAATATTATTATAGGTTTCCCATTCGCCTTTATCACGATAATAATACTTCGATGGCAGAAAGCTATTACATTTACTTTGTGAGATTTTGTGTCTGAAATTAAAAAATTATTTTTTTATGTATTTCAAATTTACCTTGAGGAATAAACAAATTACAATATAACAATTCTCGCTCCACAATGCTCTAGATCTAGTAAAACTCCATAAAGCAGAATTCTTTTTCAGAAGCAAGTAGAACGCTCAAAGGTTAAGAAATTCCTCGCTTTTTATGTAACCCGCAAGTTCATTATAAAAACAGCCCAGCACCGGTCCCTATCCTCAGCCAGATAAATCCATCCCACGCCCGCAATATTATGCTTTCTACGCCCAGGTATTCTGAGTGTTGGAATCCACCCCAGGGTCTTTCGAACACTAGACTAGCACGTTAACATTAATGAACGATCAGTATATGAGTAGGACAGAAAAAGTCAAGGCCCACTAAGAAATAAAATCCCTGTATTCTCATACAGTCTGAAGAACCTAACGAAAGTGGTACTTGCCAAATACAAATCCATTGCGTCATCACAAAACAAAACTGCTCGATCTCTCGAATGAAGGTAAAAGTGTCTTATATTCCAAGGTTCTATTAAATGCATTTTACTGTTTTCGGTGCTACAGTCAAAAACCTTTTCTTCACACTGTCATTTTTTTATCCTGTTTTGTAGATGAGCCTATTAATATTTCGTTCATACTGCCCCACGATTATTAACTGATTCAGAAACACGCAAGCAAAATAATAGTTTCAGGGGTCAAATACTTGTCAAACTGAATCTGTAATTACATTGTGAACGTTTCACTTTCGTTCTTCTAATCAGATCAACTTCTGGATAGGACCGCGGGTTCGTTATAATTACACCATGCTCGTGACAAATTTCTTTTAGGATCGAGCTCTGATAATGCCAGCTAAAATATGACAAATGTAATTATTTGGAAATAAAATAAAAAGTACTGTTTCTCGCTTTTAGAAGCTCTCAAAATCTCGAATACTTTATTCGGACAGTTAGAGACGGGTATGAAGATAAAGTATTTAAAAATGTTATGTTAAAATAATTTAAGCACTACGGAATACATTAATGATGGTTCCAGAAGTTGTTATCCATCTGTTATACACCATTCCTCGTGAACACTAAGCAACAAATTACGAATTGTGTGCATATTATAATAATTCTGGAATGTTAGAAAGAAATTTACAAACATAACCAAAGTAAGAATGGTAACAAATGTAACTTAGAGATTTCCTACCCAGTCACTTCGGCGCTGACAAACGCATGTACGAGTATAACTTCATGTAAACAGCACGTTGATTCTTCCGATTTTAATCAAAATTGGAATGTGTCGACAATAAAACACCCCAATGTTAAATTTAATTAAAAATCCGTTCAGTAGTTCTAGAATTGTTCCACGCGCACGGACAGAATAACAGCGTTTTAACAAGTCCTCCCCATGATTTTCTAACACACCTTAAAGTAACTTATTATGTTAAAGGTCGATTGTTTTCATATTTCAATGAGTAGCCTGTGTTCCACAAAAAACTATGGTGCTGTAAGTATATTCATACTGTAAAACTCACATAAAAATATAAATATCTGACAAACTATTGGGCCGATCTTGTCGTGACTTCCATATGAGACTGACCTATAAGTGACCTCATTTTGACAAGAATATGGTCAACCAGGCATTTACGGTTTGGCAGAAATAAGAGTGAAAATATATGACCTTGACCTGTATCTGGCAAACTATTGGGCCGATCTTGCCTTGACTTCCAGGGCTCGAGTTCGGTAGTAGAGCTTCACAGACTTCTATATACAGTTTCTCGTTACAATTTTTGTCACTGAAGTTTGAACTGACGTTGAAATGAATCGATATTAGAGTACAAACTCATTAATTTTTCAGAACACGGATGACGGATTTCGTGACTATTAGCGCTTATTTATAAGGTTAAGATGTAGAATATGATAATTAAATGCAGCAGGCCTACTCTGCTTCTAACAAGATAGGTAAAACAAACATCTACTTATCAGCAGAGTAATGAACCCTACATAGCATTCCACATATAATTTATATTCTTTGCAAACAAAGTTGAATTCTTAAATAAAAACACTTTTTTTTACATTTTGAAAGTAAAAAATTAGATCCACACTTTAAAGAGAATGCGATGAATTTTAAACGCCAGAAGGAATGTTGTTTTCTATTATGCACAAGTAGCTTTCTTGCTCAGTGACCTAATTGTCTACAGTCTGAAAGCATCTGATTCTGTGTCACGATTAAGCGAAGACCCCTCATGCTTAATTGAATTCTTAATGGAACAAAACAATAGCGACGTATCATTACTGTGTAACGGTGTAAAAATATCAAAATCGGCTTGGCATGTGAAAGCTCCAAGCAAATTGCATGTTTCCGTAATGTAGATAGCCTACAGGAACACGCAAGATTTTCATACAGTAAAAACTACCTTCACTTACTGAAGCGGGATGCAATCAATTCTGACAGTTCCACAAACACACTCCGATAGAGCGGTATAGACTATATTCAATTTGCGGTTACCCCCAGTGTGCGGATACACATAATGGCATTCAGGACTGCTGGCATCTGTATGCCATTTTTGATGGCGACTCTGGTCTCTTCATCACGTCTGCACCCTCAGCATTCTGTAGAGATGCTTACTGATATTGTAATTTCTGTGCAAGAGTATGTCAGATCAGGGTGTGTTTTCTTTTTGTGTCCTACCACATCAGGTAAGTTCCTACTTTTTTCTTCCTTACTGAGAACCTCACATCGTTTCTGACTGTTGTTAGTCTTACATGAACTCCACACTCAAACATCTCTTATCCGTGTTCAGTTTAAAGTTGATTCGCTTAGTGCCGTTGGTACAGTTTTCGTGAATACTAAAAATACAACAAAAATACAGAAACCTTATGTCAAATGTTATGAATAAGAACACATCTCTCGCGTTTCCACGCTTATGTAATCTCTGCAGTTCTCGGCTTTCTATGTTCAAGTACACACATAGGCCGATTTGATTTAGAACATTGTGTGAACTGAACGTATAGTACCAAAAGTAATTGTTCGTATTTCGCATAAAATTATTAACTTTATCACCTTTAGTTTTCAACTAAATTATTCTGATTGAAGTAGATATTTCATTACCTATTTATTCTTTCGTTATGGAATAGTCACACAATGAAACCTCAACCAACGAATGCATGAATTTTTATATGAAATATACTGATTTAAAGAGGAGTGGAAATCAGATATTACAAATATGAAAAACTTGTACGTCACTGGAGTACACCGTTCATTGTTCCAATGTTGTAAAATCAGCCGATGGGGTATATTCAAAGTCAGTTTACATATAATTAAATAGCAGAGAATTCTAATTTGCTTTAGCTAAACGATTGTTCATAACATTTAACAACAGAAATATTTTGCAATAAAATTGGGGGGGGGGGGGGACGT